CGTGTGCTTTTGGAAGTGTGTGGGCGGTTGTTACTTACCGGCTGCCCACACCGTGGAAGTTGGTTGAGTCTTCGGGTACCTGAAATAAAGAAAAGGTTAGTGTTGCGCGACCGCAGAGCCCAAGGGACAACTGCTTGAGGCCGGTCACACGCGGCCTGTTTTTGTTTGTTCTTTCTTGTTTGGTGTGTCTCAGTAGCATATTTATCACTTCTGCCCTGTGACACGGCAGCAGGAAGCGCGGTCGTTGTTAATCCGGGCCCCGACCGATCCGGCATGATATTTTGTGAATTTGTTTGAATCATAGTATTGGATTGGGTAGCTGCTTTTTGTCTAACCGCTATCCAAACAACCTTTCTGGCATGGTAGGACCTACAGGAACATAAGTTCCAGCCAGTGTAGCTCGTTGGGTCATTGCGATATGCAAGCCCGACCACCACGTCAAGGTAGCAGCCCATTTACCGTGTGCCAAGAAGATCATACATATTGTGGATTGAATAATTTCAGTTTTCATAGGAAACTATGGTGAGATTTCATCTCCTCGAACTGTGTAAATTATGAATTGCTAATATTAATGCAGTGAGTCAGTGGCGCAGAGATAGAACGCTTGCCAACCACGCTGCATGTGGTTCGGGGTTCGATCCCCGGCCACAGACGCACTCCCAAACCTCTCTTAGCTAATAATTAGCCTGGCAAAGAGAGAAGGTTGGGCGTGAGACTAGCAATCCCATCCCGTAAGAGTGAGATCACTGCTACTGAAACTTCAAAGCTCCAGCTTGAAGCCCTATGTTCCACTGGGAGCGCAAAGGAGTTCAATAATAATAATAATAAATATAATATTAACTTAAAGTGTAAGCAGATCACCCAGACAGCTAAGTAGAAGTCAAGTGGTTTAAAGTGATTCAGCTCTCTGAGCTGAGTCAAAACCAAGTACACCGCTGATGAGCTTAATTCAGCTAAGCTAGTGAAACAGTCGTCCGGTGTTTAGATCCTTTCCTTCTGGATTGAAAAACACTGCTGGTTGACGTGAGTGGTGTACAACTAACTACTCGTCTCAATTAATCAGTGCTACAAACTGACGAGAAACTAAAGTTGACGAAATACAGGGAACCGACACATTCAAACAAGTATTTGAATTTTCTATAGTTGGTTTGTAAGGATTAGTTTTGTTTTTATGAGTTGATCACGGATTGATATCAGTTAGAGAACCATTGAAAACCAGCACTGCACAGCTGTTTCATCCTAGTTTGGGAATCATCGGCAGTACGCACCCACTGGGGTTCGAACGACTTTCGGTTACAAGGCAAGCTCGTATACCATTCAGCCACTGGGACCCGATTCAATGGCCTATGAATTCTAACTTCTACCAATTCGTGATTTAGCGCGACCCCAACCAATGGTCTATGAGCTTGCGTTGTAACCGGAAGGTCATGAGTTCGCACTCTGGTGGTGGGTGCGTAGTGCCAATGATTTCCAAACTAGGATGAAACAGCTGTCCAGTACTGCCTGGTGGTTTTCAATGGTTCTCTAACTGATATCAATCCGTGATCAACTCGTAAAAAGTATTTGAATTGCCAATCAGATCATCCAATAAGAATGAAAGTTCCAGTAGCACTAAATCTCGTTAACAGAGCTAGAAACATTGTAAAAGATAATGATGATATGGAAGAGAGATCTTCAATATAAAACAAATTTCGATTGGAAATGGTTATCCGAAAAAAACTGCTAAATAATATTACCAATAAAACAGAGCAGAAGGGAAAACAGGAAAAAATTGAAAAATCCTGGCTATCGACGATAGCTATTACATATTGAAAGGACACAGCTGAACAACTTCAAAGACTACTACTACTATTAGTCTATTTCAAACCCTCTAATTCTCTAGAAAAAACCTTTGGTGAATGTCAAAGATATGGTTCCCGAAATGACACAAAACAACAACTGTGTCTATAGGATAAAGTGTTCAGAATATGAAGCTTGATATATATGGGGAGAGCAGTAGACAAGTGAAGGTCAGAGTAAATAGCCACAGGCTGTGCACGAAACGTCCGCCTAGAAATTAAGCTGAACTAAAGACTAGAAAAAAAGATCAGCTATAGCAATTTATGCTATAGACAGCGGACATAAGATCGATTTCGACAGTTGCGAAATTCCAGGAAGAGGCTTCCATTCATATAAAGAAAGACTGACCTCTGAAGCCTTGCATATTTTAACCACATCGAATGCAGTAAATAGGAGAGAAAGGATAGGCTTATCCCCTGTATGGCAGACTCTAATGAAACAAATCAGATGAGAAAATAAGATTCAATCTTATATCATGACCACTGTGAAATATTATCATGTTTTCACGTGTTTCCCTTACAACAAACAACATACACTCACACACACTCAAACGTAAATATGCCCATATTACGATTCGACATTAGTTGTTACAAATATGTGATGACTGTTTACATGTTTCTTTTTGTACAAATGTCTACCAACAAGTGACTTTCAGAGGAACTCACTTCCATTTATGTGATTTTTTTTGAATATATATTTTGATAAAGAAAAACACAGTCGTTTTTGTTCAGCGAAGAAATACTATGTCTTTTCAATGACTTTATTTTCAAGCAGCTGTACAGTCGTGTTTATATTACGGAAAAAGAAGGCATTAGGTGCCACTAGAAATTGTTCAGTCAATATTGCACATATGATAAGAATAAAGATAATTAAAATGATATACTACTAAGGAGGTGGTTGCCATCCGGCGATAAAATTCACACTCGAAATGGAGAACGAGTCTAGCATGCATTTCCTCGATGTGAACTTATCAAGAAGGACCGATGGAACCCTGAAAAGATCGATTTATCGCAAGCTGTCATGGAATGGTCAACTAACAAATTTCTACAGCTGGGTACCCATTGGTCGAAAACGAAACCTGATCCGGTCGCTTGCCACTCGTATTCGGCGCATATGTAGCCCTGATACTGTGGAAGATGAGTTATACATCTTGAGGAAAATCCTAATAGAAAATGGATTTCCACCACGTTTTATAGATAAGAATATTCATTCAAATCCTAAAAAACGTGAGTTATCAACCGCACCCAAGAAGATACTTTACTTGAGCTTGGAATTCAAAGGGGACTTAGCTTCCGATATCATGAAACGGAGGATATCACAATCCCTGAAAAGAACATTCTCTGCTGCATCCCTGAGAATAGCCTTTTCTAGTCGACCATTATTGTTCAATAACCTGAAGGACAAAATCCCGCTGTTGACCAACTCTATGTGTGTTTATCAATTCACCTGCTCGTGTGGAGCTAGGTATATCGGTAGTTCGACACGAGTTTTGTCCAGGAGGGTGCAAGAACATTATCCTGCATGGTTACGAAAAGGTGGTAGTGGAGCAATAAGAAGCGCGATCATTGAACATCTGGTCGATAATGATCACACTATCTCTGTAGCCTCCGCCTTCAAAGTCATCTACAAGGCAAAGAGTATTCTACCCAAATCCCTACGTACCCGACTCATCTGTATTGCTGAAGCTTTGGCTATCGAAACAGAAAAGCCAGATCTCTGTGTACAGAAAAAGTTCGTTCAACCCCTCCAACTTTCATGGTCTTAATCCATCTATGCTAAAGTATGGTAATCCCCAATCATATTTTAGCTGTACCAATTCTTCATTTTTTCATTTTTGTCTATTCAATTTGTATACTCTTCCTTATTAAGTCAATTGTTACTATTACTACTCTCACTTTTAATTGTCCCCGGTATTATTTCACTTGTTCCACTTGTCATTCTAAATCACTTCCTTTATGCAACATTAAAGTTCTATCTGTCTGTTTTCAACATAGAACTTCGCACTAATGTGCAGCAGTTCAAGTCACCACACTCCATGTAGCACACAGCAAGAGAGGAAAATAGAAGAAATGCATAATAGAGACAGTAGACAAGGATATGAGGTAAAGGGAATAGTAATAATGAAGAACAAAAGTCTCATCGGAAATCATAAGTCACAGGGAGTGGATGCATCTGTGCCAACCACTGAGAACGATTTTGAGCCATATCACCGATTATCTCCAGCCTTCATTGGTTTTTACCGTCCCGAGGACCCCAACCAGGAAGTCAGTCTACACCTTCCTACGTAGCTGGCTGGCTTAAACTAACTTGTGGATTTCATTGACTGATGAAGCCATGTTTTGGTTTGACCACCACCACTGGGTCTTTCCCAGCCTGACCCTATATCAGGTAACATTACCCGTCGTCAAGGAAGGCAATGACTAAGCATACGTAACACATATCCTAACCATCTCAGTTGATGTAGCTCCACAGCCTCGTCGATTCATTTCCCCTTCCTCCATACCTAATACTCGACGCCTAACCTCAATATTGCTTACCCTATTATACCACATCACACGGTAGATAGAACGCAGGCACCTATGATCAAAGACAGCTAGCTAGCCAGCCTTTTCATGTCTTCCACTCTCAATGGCCAGGTCTCACAGCCAGCCATAAAGGAGGACGGAGCGGACTGATGAGCAGTACACACGCCCTTTGATCGACAGCCAGTTGGATATTACGTCTACGCCAGAGACGGCGTAAACTGGCATATGCAAAACGAGCCTTCTCTTATTCGTACTGAGATTTCGTCAGCGATCAACCCGTTGGCACTGGCTGATGCAACTTCCCAAATAAGTGAAGCGATCAGAGTCTTCTGCGGGGAGGGAGGGTAGAGTTGAAATGGATGAATAACAAAACTTTTAAAGATTATTAAATAAGTGAACTTGTATAAAGATTTTAAACTTGTATATAATATTTTGATGGTTAATAAAATCGGAATAATCCTACTGCTGAAGAAGCTGTGGCGGCTTACACAGCGAAACGTTCAGAAAACAGATCTTGTTTTGATTTAGATTTTTTTCTTAAACATGCTGGGATTATTTTAAATAATATATCATGATTCAATCTCACTCAACACTCAAATTATTCCAGGAAATTCGTAACATCTACAATCTGGAAACTTATAGCACTGCATATAACTTTAAAAATGACAATAAAATAAACAAAACAAGAGTTGTAGTCATTTTACTCACCTGATTTACTGAATCACTTATTGATTTAATATTATTGTTGTAATTATTATCACTATGATTATTATTATTATTACTTGTTGCCTCTTTATTATGAAAATTTTGAACAATTTTAGCTGCTCTTTCAGCAGCTAACTTCATTTGTACAGCGAATTCTGTTAAACTTAACTGAAAACTCCAATCCATTGAATGTTCAAATGAACAATAATGAAAATCATTAAAATTACAACTATAATTCAGTGAATTATTATAAATATATTCAATTAAATGATCTTCTGGTGATGATATAATTCGTTGTATAGATAAAGAACTTTTTGTACAGTGAATTGAATACAATGTAATCATTAAAACAATAACTAAATGCATATTAAATTCGATAAGTGTTGAACATACTCAAATATTTTTCAACTTTCTGCCTCTCGCGCTCTCTATGTATACGTATAGTTAGGTACGTATATATTTACATATATAAATAATTTTCCTTAGTGGGATAATATCATTCACATGTAAGTAGCTTCAATAGTTGTATATTTTCATTTTCAACATATTACACATTTGTTCAATATCATTAAAACAATTCAGCTTTTGTGTAATAGCCGGATTTGTGTGTTGTTCATTTTTAATGAATGACAATTATGCTAAAATGATCGATAAATAAAACAAAAAAAGCGAGAGAAAAAAAGGATGAAAACGTGTTTGGGGAACAAATAATAAAGTTAGAGAACCATTGGAAAACCAACTGGGAGTACTGGACAGTCAACCGTTTCATCAGTCTAGTTTGGGACTCTTCATCAGTACGCACCCATCCACTATCGGGTTTCAAACCCAGGACATTCTGGTTACAAGGCCAGCAAGCTCTTAGACCATTCAACAGCCACTGGGACCCGATCCAATGACCAGTCAGCCCATGAATTCTAACTTCTGCCAATTCATGACATAACGCGACCGCTTCGCAATGTCTTCTTCGATGAGTTACTGCCTCGCCTTGAACCTGCTGCACCCTACTGGTCACGGACGAAACCACTGTCTAGTACTCCCAGCTGGTTTTCCAATCGTTCTCTAACTGATGTCAGCTCATGATGAAATCTTCCAACCAATCAAACAAAATCCCTACAAAAAACACAATACATGAAAATAATAAAGTGACAAAAGTAAACGCTGAGAAGAAATATCAGATATCAAAAATGTATTTGTGATGCATTAATCCTTTAAAACTATCATCTATTGCTGAATGTCTTCGTTAAAGTAAAACACAATCTTATCTGTTCCTTCCACTTATATTTTTGCTCTAAAAGTATCGTCAAACATATAAAGTTTTTAGTTTAGAGTTGACACAGAAGGTCTATTAATCGATGTTCGACTAAATTTGATCGATTTCGACCATCAGTATTTTCTACGGAATTATCTATTATCGAATTCATTCAATTATCTAGGAAGCACAGTTTCAATCACAGGCGGAGAGGATGAGGATTTCAAAGCCAGGTAGGATCAGAAAGGCAAAACAGACCTTCATCAATTTGAAATCCATTTCGAAGACTTCTGCATTGACTCAGCATAAAGAATTAAATTCGGATTTTCAACACAAATGTTAAGTCAGTCGGCCAGTCAGCCACTTCTTCTAAATAAGATGAAAAGTTGGCACGTGCGTCACGAATAGCATTACCAACAGGCCACTGCAGACTGTTATCAACAGCTGATGCCTTCACTGGCTCTATATTGAAGATCAAATGACCGGTCAGAAAGAGTTACCAACGAGAAACTCTGCAGTGGAACAAACAAACTAACTAACTCCATAAATATGCAGGAGAAAATGGAGACAGATTGGGCATACACTGAGGAGACCGTCGGATGACATCGCACGCCGGCCATCTCTCGGATGGAACCCGAATGGGAAACGACGGGTAGGTCGTCCTACAGTGACATGGAGGAGATTTGAGATTATGGGCAATCGTGGACCCAGTTGAAGAGGACAGCAGAAAATAGAGAAAGTTGGAGATGTGTCGGTGAAGCTGTATGTTCCCCTTAAAACCCAAAGGAAATATAATAATAAAATAGGTTGGATCCTCGTAAAAATTCCTCGAACCAATAAATCTATAATAGTTCATATTTTAAGGCCTGAATTTCGCATGCAAAATAGATTAAGTCAGTCATTAGACCTAAAGTAAACTAAACGTCTTATGAGTATTGAATCTTAAAATATCCTTTCATATATCTTGTTGCAATCAAGTGACGTCTTATGGAACATCTTTCTACCTGATCACTGTTAAGCTCCATTCAATTCCTTTCTTCTGGTGTTTTGCATTTTAAGTGGAATATAGCGCCTAAAGTTTTAAAATTTCAGTAGTGGTAGTGTTGTTGTTCTAACGGGGTGACTTTATTAGCCTTCACCTCTCCCCATCTTCCCGAGCTTTCTTTAGGCTAGTAAACCAGTCGAGATTTAGAAGTGGATTGGCCGGGAAACTTGAAGAAAGAAATGGAGAAGGTACCATGGTAATAGCAGCTGCTTGTACGTCCGGTAGTGCTAAGCGGTCCGGCAAATAAGAACAGACTATGTTTGCTTAAGAGCTTTTTTACTACTTCTGCCGAATTCAATCCCTTTAAATACGTTAAACTGCTAAACTTATCGAATGGATTTCGCCTTAGTTTTAACGAATCTTTACCTGATGACTATATTTTATACAGTTTAGACCATTCGAATCTCATGAGCTTTATTAAGAATATTCTTCCTTATATTCATATAAGTCAGAAAGGACAATTCAGAAAAATGAAACCATGGTTAATGCACTGAAAACACTATCTACTTATGCATTTGATTGTCCTTAAAGTGTAGTCGTTTTTATTTACTTTTTTTTTCTTTACAATTCCATCCCATCCAAATGATCCACTTTTGAAGTAGCTAATCAGTTGATTTCGAGTATGAGATCTAACTTTGATATTTTGTAACCACATGTATGTTTTAGGGTTATAGTTCTTGGCGCCCACATGCCCACTTGATAAGGACTACAGGAGACCTCAACACTGGTAAGCACTTAGTAGCACAGGTATACATGTATGGTCCAAGATTCACATTTTGAAAAGCCTTTATAGTTGCTCTGCTCAAAAGGTGAATCTCATGCTATGTGTCAATGACTTGTGAATTCAGACAACCACCTTACTAGTTCTGATGACACACTATCCTCTAGAGTTGAATTTATACTGACCGACTAGGTCATCAGAACTGTAATTGAATATCAAACTAAGCTGAATATAGCAGCATCCACTGATCCTCCAGAAAATGTAGATTATCAATTATTGCACTTATAAGACGCAGTAACTAGAATACGTAAAACCATATGATATCCCAAAGAACATCGTGTCCATATACGACTGATTTTTGTAAACTCTGTATTACAGATTCGTACAACAGGATGACAAGTAAAATGGCTTGCTACAGTCGTCTAATCGAGAAGCTATGCAACTCTTTGCTAAGGACTATCAGATCTGTTCATCACAAGCTGCTTCAGAAACGAAGACAGTGATTATTCTACTTGAAACAAGTCACGATTGTAGGCAGATCAAATGCTAATAAATAATTTTTAAAAACGTCTAGGACGATGAATAAAGCAATTCACAAGTAGTTTAACTGACCTACTAATTTGAAGTTCTGTACACTGATACGCTCCACTTCATAATCAAAACAATGATCTTAAAGTGCTTCATCAAGTATGAACAACTTAATTTTAAAGCCAACTTTTGATAAAAAGATTACTGGACTTCTAAAGACAGAGTGGAAAACAAAGCGTACACTTTGCAAAGAAGCGATTACTTTATGTATAAATGAAGAAGGCTTGTGTGATGCAGATAAAACTTATGGGAATATTACTTCATCACCTGATAAATACAACATTTTAAATGACGAGATATGCTGAATTAACACTGAAGTTTGGTAGAGTTGTTTATTTTGGCTACTCTTCTTTGCTCATTATAAAAGTGGCGTATGACAGTGACGTAGATCTACTTACTGGATAACATTTGTGCTACTAAAATTGCACCTAATCATTTTGTGACCAATATCCATAAATACCACATTTACTCTGCATTATTTTATGTTCTATCGTACTGCTTATATGATTGTTCTAACGTTACCGCTATTGGTTTCGACGCATATCATCTAGATTCTACAAATATCGATGTCATTTGTATTACTGAACTCAGACAATGATACTGAATCTTTTAAACCACTCAAGCTAGCATTCAATAACGTCATACATTGGGCTTATGTTTTAATATGGCCAATTTCGCTTTCTTTTGATTTGGTACTGCTTCAGCTAACATTCTATTTCAAGGTAAGGAGTGACTACGCATGCGCGTAGCGTATTTGCTAGTAACTTGAAGTAGTCAACAAGTTTGCAAACTCATCAACTGTCTTACCTTTCTTATGCAATAATCTCTACGCCTGATCTCGAAATTACTCAGTTTTTCTAACAATACACAAGCAATAAGACCAAAACACTCACGATGTGTAATGTATGAGTTTCCCATTTTATCTGTTTGACAATCACGACTCGCACTCATGAAATAAAACAGAGGAGGTTTCTGCACAGTATGACCAATATGAAGCAGATAAATGCATATAGTGAGTGTCGTGAACTAGGTAAGCCTTTTGCATTTACACTGAAATGTTATCACTAAGGTTGTGCTGAGTTTGCAAAAGACTAAGATGATAAATCACTTAAATTTTAAGCTAGATAGGCAATTAACTTATATCCATCCTGAAATAAATTTGAGATTGGTAGGCGGAAAACAAATCATTCGATCAGAGAATCACGTTTATAACCCATCAATAAATGTGTGTGACAAACATGCTTACACGATTACACAAGGAATTCCGAAAAATATAAAAAGGACGGCGACTACTCAGTAAAACAAAACTGAATTCTCATTACAGAATTACTGTAACAAAATTGGAGTACTCGAGAACATTCCTACAGTTATTCAAAGTTTTTCCCTTATGTGAGAAGAAGAATAGTTGGAAAGTTTTTCAGACATTAGGTCCAGCAACTTATGCCTTATCATTACAGTGAGTGACACATTTTTATATTCATATGCAACAATTTAATAGCCTTTTAATTCTACAGAGAACGAGGGGCAAGAATAATATTTGCTTTCAGCTATGTATTGTTGTTATGATTCCTGCAGAGTGTGCAACATGAAAAATCTCCTTTAAGAAGCTTAAGGTACTGAAGACACGTTCTTTTAAATTACAAGACATTTTTAGTCTATACATAAAAAATAAATGCAAAACTAAATTCTTCCGTTTCCTTTCATTATCAGATGTCATTGCTTTCTAACGCCTCAAGACTGGTCTTAAAGACGACAAATTTGTGCAACACTTCGCTCTCATACAGTTTAACATTGATTTATTTATCAGTACAGAATACAGCACATCACATTCTAGAAAGTATTTAGATCGAATTAAGCAATTCTCTCAAACCAAACAAAACGATATATGGTCACCAAATATTTAGTAAACCGTATAAATTATGTGATCAGCTTATGCTTTTTATGAATGCTTCTCAAGAACTTAAGTTCCTGAACATGAAAAACTGTTCACTACGAATAAGTAGTCTTTGGTTAATCAAAGATAACGCAAAACAAGT